GACAAGACCTGCTCAGGAGAGAAGAATGAAGCATGAGAAGGCAGCCAAAGGAGAGAGGGAAAAGTGGGGGTGGGGGGGCAGCTGAAAATGACTAGGGACCAAGGCTTGCTCCTGCAGCAGATGAGCTTTTACAAAACACTTGTGAGGGAAGGAAAAGAAAAAGAGAAACTATGGCAAGGGTCTTGACATCGTCTCTCTGGCTCTGACTATTCTCAACCTTTTCAAGAAAGAATGATCAGGTAGATTAAGGGGTTGAGCAGGGTTCCTCTAGACCTAGAGCACAGGAATCCACACTTAGAGGAGTTTCGTTGCTCTCCTAGTCAGCCTCCACCCAAAGATTCAGTCAAGTGATAAGGAAAGTTCCAGATAATGGCAAGAACGTCAGAAAGGAAGGAAAGGAAGAAGAGAAATTTGAAACAGGAGGGAAGTGGGATGTTGGAGAGTCGAACACGTAATAGAACTGCCAATAAATTGAACTATAATAAATGTGCCAAAATATTTAGGATTAATTCTCTTTGACAGTTCCAAGTATTTCATCAAGTTCATTTCACTTTTAAACAAATGAGTATTTGTGGCCAGAGTAATAAATTGAGGTTTATTATGCAGAAGGTATGAAAATGAACTTCCACATATAGAAGGCAATTTCCTGGTGCCTTTTCTTTATAAAGTGGCAGCATAACTCATTTCAGAAAGACTTTTACTTTGTGAGCACTCAGTTACATTATCATTTGTCGATTTTTTCACCCGAAGAGCCCAACATGAGTAATTACCTTCACAAACAGGGAAGTATATTTAACTCTTTCTTGGGAGTATAACAAAAATGAAAAACTTTCTCATTTGAATCAAGGATTGCCCATGAAGACCCCAAAGTATTATTAAAGCAAAGCTCCAAACTCCATAGAACATATGTATACACAGGTACATCGTGAGAAGCAAGGACTTCTCTGTCCTGGGCTTCTAATGTCCATGCTTCCATGAGACACGGCTACTTAACTGAAGGCCTCCAACAAGTTACTTCTTAAAAGATGGAGTAGCAAATTCCGGATTCTATGACATTTTTAGAACTTCCTGGCAGATATAATTAATTCAACAGGTAAACCTAACCAAAGGATATGCTGAAGGACAGATGCCAGACATCTGGCTCTTTTGAAAAAATTTCAGCAGCTACTCTTTCAGTGGAACACTCTTAAACAGAGATAATGGCCAGGGTGGCAAGCTCAGCAGCACATAAAAGATACAAGAGCAGAGACGAAAGAACAACAAAAGTGACGACGGCCATGCACTGGCAAAATGTTCCTACCGTTGCACTGACATCTCAGATAATGTCTGAGAACCTATCAAGTCTTTCAGTTCCTAACCCCATAATAGTGCCGTATTTTCTGCAAACCACGAACTAGATCTAAAACCTTCGTACTAAATCAAAGAGGAGAAAAACAGCATCAGTCATCAAGTCCTCCAAGAGGAGTTGGTAGGTGGGTAGTGGGTGTGTGTATACCTCCAAGCTACGAGAAAGCAAAATCAAACCCCTATAGTTTTATTTTAGTAATATAATTTGAAAACCTATCCAGGACCTGAATAACCTAAATATTTGATCTTTGAAGTATTTTGGACATGCTGAAACTGAAGAAAAGTTACTGAAAACAGCTGACAGGTCACTACCGGAAACCTTACAAATCAGCAGAGACTTCTGCTAAAATATTACCTCTAGCTAGTTTATGGACATATCTGAAATGGGGGGGGGAACCCTCCCAACGACACAGAAAACTTTCAACATTACCAGCAGAATTAATTTTGGTAACAAAAATTTCCATTTTCATGTAATGTATTTATCAGTCAGCACATACTACTTATGCAGAGTATAACAGTACATATTCTAGAATCAGACACATGAGTTTGAGTTCTTGCTCTCCAATTTACCATCTATGTCACCTCCTCAGTAAAGTCACACTGAACAATAGTGGAGGTTTAGTGTCGTTATCTGCAGAACAGGGATAATATTATCTTTAGCAAAGGGCAGCTATAAGGATTAAATACAACCGTACACAACCCACCAAAGCCAGTGCCTGAAAATACACAATGTTCAGATCCCTTTGAGCCAACGCGAACCACACAGAGTTTAAATCTATTACTGAGAAGACTATGTCAATAAATATGTATTACAAAATTCAGGGTGACAGAACACTGATTACTATGTTCTATCAACTGTAAAGATGAAAATCACACATTTAATATTTACCTTCACTTAAGTCTAACATTTTCTGTGAGCCAGTTGTAGGCAAAGAGCGGGTCGTGCCTAAAGTTGAAAAACTTGGTATCACACAGTGATTAACGTTATTTATGTGTATAGGCTTGTATTCCCCCAGTGTTCATAAAAAGACACCATCATAAAACTTGCCATGGGCTATGTCCTTTATAATACTGTGAGAAATTAAACTCTCCTCTCAAAAGCCCTTTCTTGAGCGAAATATTTCTTTCTTTTTACAAATGTTCTTGTATACTACTGCAAAAACATTTGCAAAGCAAAGAAGAAAAGTAAACTCCCTTATCTTCCAAAATGAAAAAGTGTGCAAAGGAAGCCAAGTTTGTCAAATTGCTCTTTCCTATTCATCCCTGTTGTTTCACAAACCAGAAGTAAATACATCACACGCCTAAATTACTGTGATTGACAAACGTCAACGCAGAACACATGGAGTTAACAAGCCCCGTCTGGACCAAAGGTGACAAGTTTTGTGAAGCATTTAAATAAACTGACATTTCGGTAAGGACAGAAATGCTTTATATTTTAACACATCAACAGGATGAACTTTTGACTTTCTGTGCAGCTTACTTTCCACCTTGTTCCCCATCCCATCCCCCCAAATCCTGCTTTTATGCACTTTAATGAGCTGGCATACAGGACTTAACTATAGAACTCCAGCTGGAAATGACTGTAATCTGCTGTCGGACCTCAGGGGATTACTGCGTGATCCTTAAACGCACGTCGACCAGGTTTTCACCCGACTCCACACCTGCCAATAATCATTTGCAAAGAAACCTCCTCTGGAGCAATTCCTACTATTACTACTGATCCCCACGACTCTCAACAAGCCCCAACCTTGGTGCAACCAGTCCTCATCCCCGCGAAGCCTTGCTGAGTTTTGAAGCCCGAACACCCAGGTAACCTCCTGGCAACGTCCAGGGTCCGGCAAGGACAGCCACCTCTCCGTCTGGGGGGCGAAGAGCAATCCAGGCCCCCGGCCACTCCCTCTCTCCTCGGCCTCCCGGGCGTCAGGGTGCGGACGCGCCAGGCCCTGCGCAAACCTCCCGCAGCCCCGCAGTTCCCGGTCCGCCGCAGCCCCGGGACGAGCAGAGGCGCCAGCACAGCCGCGGTCGCGCACACGCCCACCGCCCCGGGCACGGAGTCACCGGACCACCCCGGGCCGCCCCCGACGCCCAGGGCAGGTGCCGGGCCTCCTCGCGGACACTCACCCGGCAGCCGCTGCTCGCGGTTCTCCGCCGTCGCCGTCTCGCCCTCTTGCCTGCAGCCTGTTCCCGCGGGGGTCCGGGCCGGCGCCGCTTCCCCGCCCGACCCCCCCCCTCGGGTGCGCGCCGTGCGGGGGCGGGATCCGGTGAGCGCCGCCGCCGCCCCTTCCCTCCCTCCTCCCTCAGGGCGTCCCTCCCACGGAGACCCGCCTTGTATTTCCTGGATCGGTCGCGGCGAAAGCTTGGCAAGCAAACCGCCCGCTTTAGGGCTCCCGTCGGGCGCCGTCGCTCGCCAGGCACAAAGATGGCGTGGCCGGGCACTGGCGAAGGCGATCTCGCGAGGCTTCCCGCACAGCGCTGGCAGGGTGGCAGGGTGGCAGGTGGCAGGGTGGCGGGCGCGGCGGGGTGGCGGGGCGGCGGGGAGACGGGGCGACGGGCGGGAAAGCTGGTCAGTTAGGGTAGCCTGGGCAGTAACTTCGGAGCATACGCGCCCCTTAGACCGGAACTGGGCAGCACTGTTCCACAGCAAGTTACTGCGGCTGCGCGCGGGCGGCCGTGACGCATGCCCAGAACAGTCCCTGCAGTAGTATCCAGTTCGTGTTTTACCTGTTTCCCCTAAAGGCGCGGAGCTGGGAAAGAAGAGGGAGGAGGGACGTGAAGGAACCCCGGGAAAAAGGCTGGGCTGGGCGGAGCGGCGAAGTGGGAGGTGCCCGCTGCAGCTTGACCCTGCTTCGAGATCCCGAATGGCCGACACGCTTAGGTGTCCCCCGGAGTCCTCCAGCCCTTTTCTTTTCCCCGCCCTCCCTGTCACCGAGTATTCTTTGAACGGTCTCGGTTGCTCTTCATCCTGTTGGGGATTCGCGCTTTTTATTGACAACGGCTGTGAGCCCAGAGCTGGCCTCGCAGCTGGCAGCCACAGCCCGTTTTCTCACGTCACCATCTAACTTTCTCTTTCATTTTGACGCTACTTGAGCCTTCCAAATTCTGTTTTATTTTTCCTCGCTCATTCATGTATTCATTCATTCAAACGTGTGCTGAGTTTCTTATGTGCCAGGTACTGAGAAATCACCAAGGTGCTCTGACCTGAGGGAGCTGTTGGCCAGGGATGGAGATAGATGAGAAAAAAAAAAAAAAAACAATGACGACAGTTCAGCACAGTAAATTCTATGATAGAAATGAGGACAGAGAGGAGCGACAGATATTGGGGGTAAAGTGTCATTAAACACATCAAGACAAAATTTTTGAACGGACTCAGAAACATCGAATTTAGTTCGTTGAATCAGTCAGGGTGATGTCACGAAACCACCTCAACTATTTTAACAGATTTTCATATAAAAATTGATAAATTAGATAATTGAAAAAGCATGAAGCAAATTCTTAATACATCACTAAGTAGTAAGCAGGAAACACCTACTATGCTTGGAGCCAGGGGGATCAAGAGAAAAACTTGGAATTACTACAATTCAGACCTGGAGATCCCAGCAGCATCTTCTGGTTCTGGTGTCTCTTGAGAGGGACTCAAAACTGCCTGCAAGTGTGCAGAGACTGCAAACTGGATCCAACTGTTGCTGTGGGAAGGAGCTGCCACTGTCCTGAGAACTTCCAATCACCCTCCAGACTGGGGATGAGAATGAGACAGAGTAGAGCTGAACTTAACCACCTCCTGAAGCAGAACAGCTCCAGGAAGGAGAGGTGCTCCTTCCAGAAGCTGGATGTAATCAGAAAGGGGGCCGTTCACTCCTGCCCCACAGCCCGTATAATGGGAACCACCACATCAAAACATGCCTAGAAAACCTGCTTCAAGTTCAGGGTTTTATAGGAAACACAGCTGCCCCCAAGCGACTCAAACTCATGACTGAGAAATGAATGTGTTTTGTAGTATGGCACTGAGACTTTAGTTTATTACATGGCAGAACTGGACTAATAACAGCAGCTCTGTCCCATAAAGTGAGCAGGAGTTAGTGTCCCTCTAGCTTCTTGATCCATCATCACTAGAGTGCTGTCCTAGAATGGTCCAGAATGGCTCAGCACCACCTTACTTTCCAGTCTTCAGGAAACGGAAGACCTGCCCGTTTCCTTAAGAGCAAGACATACAAGTTGTTAAGATCACTTGTGTTCACAACCCATTGGTTTAATCACATTACTGTACTTGTTAGTGAGACTGGGAAATGTCTTATTCTAAGGAGTCTTGTACCTAGCTAAAACTTATACGACTTTAGGAAAAAAGGCTGTGGTGGTTGGGTGTGTGTGTGGGGGGGGGGGTCAATCAGCAGTCCTGTAAAATAATCAAAACTCAGAACTAGATTAAAGTTCTTTTTTTTAAAGGTTTATTTATGCATACAAGAACCGGGGTGCAGGCCAGAGGTGCTGGGGAATGAGAGGATTCACCAGAGACAGTGGGGAGCAGAACAGGCAGATCTACTGAAATACATTGCTGAGGGGAGCAGAGGGCGAGACAGGAGAGGTCTGCGCCATGTGGGTTGTCTACCTGGCCAGAGATCGAACTCGCGTTGCAGTAGCGAACTCGAGCTACAGTTGCTGCAGATTAGCCCTTGTGCCACCAGGGAGGCCCCTGGACTTAAAGTTCTATCTTTTCTTTCCTCTCTTCCAGTTGGGTCTTGCCACCGGTGAGGAGCTTATCCTGCCTTTTGTTCCCTAGGCTTCTACTTCTCCCGTTTGGCTAACCACCATTTCTTCAGGGATGCAGAGGATGGAAATGGAAATAGGCAAAGTTATTGCTTTACAAGTACAGTCATAAAAAGTCATGTCTTCTCTGGACATGACAGAAGGCTAAAATCAGCTGTTTCTCTCTTGATATATTTTAGGGGTTCTTCTTAGGTACCCACTGGGAAGTTTGATAGCACATCATAGGACACAAGTGTGCCCTTTTCTGTGTCTGGCCTCTACTCAGCCCTGGCCTCCTACTTTTCTATGCTACTGTAAGTCCTCTCTTGCTTGTCCAAGCCTTCTATGTCCTATGTCCATGCCTTCTACGTGTGACTGGCATCCAAATGCTGGCTCATTTGTGGGGAAAGCCTGTTCTTCAGCACTCACCCCACCACACAGTTCTTTGATATTTATTCAATTTGTTCTAACTTTTCAGCCCTTGCCTCTTGTGGAATACCACAACTTCTTACTGTCAGGATTCCATACCCATTGGCAGGGCACAAGCCTTCTGTGATAGTCACTTGCCCTGTGGGAAACTCACATATCCTTGCCCTGTTAAACAACAGACAAACCGCCTTGTTGCTGCTCCAGAGAGCTTCCTGCCTTCAGAGTTCTTCTGGCAAGAGGCAGACAGCGATGTCTATGCTGCTCCCAGTCTCCAAACTCAAGGCTCCATGGCCAGCTGTCCCTAAAATTCTCTCTCTAGTTGGCACTATGGAGAGCTGCAGTTCACTAGCCCAGGAAGTGGCTGGAGGCAACACATCTTAAAGACGGACACTCCTCACTCAGGTCTCCCAGGCCCCCTCCCCTTGACTTTGAATTCCCCAATAAGAAAAATCTCTAACACTCCCGGGAAGATGGAAACTAATAAAAATCTCTCTTCTAATCTTCTCTTATTTCAGCTGAAGGAAGTGTTTGAGTGATAGTGGTAGAACCAGTTTTACTGCCTCTTGGTGAGCCTTTAGGGATGGGCCTAGAAGCTCTTTAGAATGTGATAAAATTTAGCATGTATTCTCTTCAGTTGTATCAGACATATCTCAGGTGCCGTTTTTTATATCTCACCTGTTTTTTTACAGATTTATTTTTATTTATTTATGCATACAAGAACTGGGGTACACCAGGGAGGCCCCAGGAAAGGTAATTTTTTAAAACATTTATTTATACAAGAACTTGGGTACAGGTCAGAAGGGCAGGAGGGTGAGAGAATTCACCAGAGACAGAGCAGGGAGCAGAACAGGCAGACAGAACGAAGACACTGCTGAGGGGAGCAGCTGGTGAGGCAGGAGAGGTCTGCCACGCCATGTGGGTTTCTCCCTGGCCAGCCAGGAATCAAACCCGCGCTGCAGAGGCTGCATACAGCTTCACAGTGCTGCACTTAACCCGCTGCGCCACCGGGGAGGCCCAGGAAAGGTAAATTATTAATAAGAGTATGAATCAGGGGCCTCCCTGGTGGTGCAAGGGGTTAAGTCTTAGCACTATCAAGCTATCACCAGCCACTGCAGCATGAGTTCTATCCCTGGCCAGGTAGGTGACCCACATATAGTACAGCAGACCTCTCCTGTCTTTCCCACTGCTTCCCTGAGCAGTGTATTTCAGTGGATCTGCCTGTTCTGCTTCTCACTCTTGTGAATCCTCTCCCCCTGACCCTCCGCACCTCTGGTCTACACCCCAGTTCTTGTATGCATAAATAAATGAAAGAAAATCTTTTTTAAAAAGTATGAATCAGTTCTGGAAAGAATGAATTGCTAAAACAGTCACATTCCCCATGTGGAAGGAATCCAAAGTAATCAATTTGCCCAAGTAGCTGACCGGGCGTCCTACAGAAATGGTGCCATACTGGAACTCAGTGTGGATTTGAGCAGTTGATGGGTTGGCCAGTAGTAATTAGTTAACTCTTGATGGGAGGGAGCCCATATCACATCTGAAGGGCAAGTTGGGTCCCAGAGACAGGATCCCTCGCTCCCCCTTGGGAACTCTGTTGATTGCTTGTTGCCAGGCAATTTGCATTTAGATCCCAGCTATTTTACAGGCATTACCTGGAACCAAGGCTGATGTGATATTACAGTCCTCCGATGAGGGGAGGAGGTCCCATGAGAAGTTGAATTTGGTGCGACCATCCCTCAGGAGAAGGGCAGAACCTTGTTTCTTATTTGCTTTTCCTTTTTTTAAGAATTATTCTTTTATTTTAAGATTTTTATTTTACTTATTTTTGCTCAGAATAACTGTGATGTAGGCCAGAGGTGGAGAGGTAAGAGGATTCACCAGAGTCAGAGTGGGGAGCAGAGCAGGCAGGTCTACTGAAATACACTGCTGAGGGGAGTAGCTGGCGAGACAGGAGAGGTCTGCTGTGCGATGTGGGTCAGCTCCCTGGCTGGGGATCG